CACAAGAGAAACAAAATGTAGGCTATACAAATATTTCTCCCGGCCCGGGAATCGAACCTGGGACCTCTGCGTGGCAGTCCGGCATGGTAACCGTTCGGACACGGAGGCAGTTTCTGTGTTTCGGTTTAGAAGGGTCAGGGTGGCGGTGAAATTACAGGCACATGGGACTTGTCAATTTATGTCTCAAGCTCTGAGCGGCTGCAACTTCTATGAACCGGCGTGTCATTAACACAATGCGCTCGACTTGTTCGTCCTGTCAATTGATATAAGAAAAACACAAAAAAACACGTACGCACGCACGTACGTGCATTCCTTCGGTATCGTATTCGTATCGTTCGGTATAACTTTTCTTCAAATACTTCCATTTGAGGCTTGTTACTGTTTATCATTCTCATGCTGATTCTCGTTTATACATATTTTACGTAGAGACGGATGAGGCTACTTTTAGTTAAAACAATCGTTATTTTTTTGTGTAGTCGTTTCAAAGTCGTTCGCGATGGGTAAAAGCCTTTGCCCCTATTATCCCAGTGCAGGCCGAAAAATTATGTTTTTGGTTATTCCTATTGTGGAGAATTGAAACGTTACCGACTTGACATCTTTATCGTTACCGTGTTATAGAGCTCACTGACTTCATAAGTAATAGAATCGTGTTTGTGTTTCGGCTTGGAGGGTGGGGTTTTTTCCATAATAGCAAGCGAACAATCGTTCAACCGGGCGCGCTGGCGGGCAGCCTATTTGGCGGATTAGGCAAACAGACCTTAGCATTCATCCGCGCTTGGCATGTACTCGTGTACTCGGTGAAAAATGATGTTAATACAAATTTTGTATGAATTAGATAGATAGATAAAGCATTTATTCACCACGTTCCATCACAGCATTACGTATAACAAGAAAAGAATTCGACCATTTCACGGAAAGCTTTGTGGAAATTAATACAATTTTTACTATACACGTAGCCTTATTATTGAAATATGTAATTGTGTTGGTAAATAGTTTGTACTTTTAAAGCTAGTAAAGTAAACGAATTGCGATGGATCGAGTGGATTGTATTAATGAGGTTCACCCGCTCACCCGCTGCCGCGGTGGTGTGTTTGCGTGCTTGCGAGTCGCTCGCAAAGCAAGCTCTGTTCACACAAATCAGCAGATTATATGGGCTGTGTATACAGTGGTCGCCACTGCCGTCTACGATACGTGTTCTGCGTACAGGGTGTTACATAAAATATCACTGTTTCCACATCATGGAAAGAGGAAAATTGTTCGCCAATAAAGATGTACGTAAACAGAATTCGTTTGCCGCAACTCGATATTATAACGAGAATATCGGTAGCATTTTCTTTTTAACTTGACACCTCACCTAACTAGAGTAAGGAGCGGGGACGCCGAACCACGCATATTCCTTATACGCTTGATGCTATTTCTATTATGGTTTCAACTAACTTGTGATAGATTTCGTTATTTAGCTCGTTGAATAACCTTTAAAAAGGATTTTATTACATAACAACTGGATTATGAATCTAATAAGGGTTCAATTGAAAGTTAAAAATGTGGTATGCGTTGAGGTACGACTTGTATAGCTTCGGCTGGTACATATGTGACCATTTTATGACAATGAATAATGTTACGCAATGTGATTTACCCACAAACAAATCGAGAATATAAAAAAAACAATTAAATCCAATGCTTATTAACATCTTCTAAGCGACAACTCAAATAGTGGTATTAGCTGCAAGGCGGCCATTTTGTTGGTAGGTCGATGAAGGCGGCGCAAAAATGTAGGTAATACCATAAACAATAGCGTTTACATCCGCAGTGCGACATGTTAGTGTGAAGGAGCTTGCGCGAAATAAATTGTGCTGTACGTACGTACGATTGTGCGACATCACAATTAATTGCGCAACATTCGTACGACAAATAAATGTTTGTTTCAGTGTTTCAAAAGGAGCCACTGAATAAATATAGTGATTTGGACAATATGCATAACATTCACAGTAGTATGTTGTCACAGTACATTATTTAATAGCAGCAAGATGTAGAAGGAACATTTCGTTGTTATTAGCCTTAATTAGTTTGTTGTGTAAGTCCTATGATACAATGGCTCCAGAGCATACTTCTTTATATAATTAGAATTCGAACAATTGCGTGGACAAGTGAACGACAAAGTGGTTAAATGAAGGAAATCTGAAGACGATTCACGATTATTTTTGCCTTCACTGTTATACATTTGTTGCTTTATGTTTCGTTTTAGTGTAGTTTTAAAATAGCTTGAATTAAATTTATTGCTTATATTATTGTTTTCACACGATGGAACACCACGATACGTAACAGTACTGTCGCACAATTGATTGAGACGAACTCAAATTGTTGGTGACTGCACTGCGTATAAAATTCGGTAGTTGTAAGCAACAAAAGCAAAATTTGGAATCGCCCACGTGCTCTATATTTAAACCACTACTATACTGTATAGATAATATATCTTACAAGTATGTGGGTTTCACGACTGAGTTTAAAATTGAGTTAAAAAAGCTTTGTTATACAATGTATCAATATCGTTATATATAAATCCCAGTATAAAGCAACACCCTGTGGCTTATATAGACACTCAGCGGGGATTGGATGTCTGGCTATTCTACGAAACTCGTATTCTCGCCTAGTTTAACTTGCATCTGCTTCGTGTTGCATTGTCGCAGTCGCAAGCAGGTCGTGCTATTGTAGGAGTTCATTCAGGGAAACTTTGTTCCCGCAATCTGCTCTTGGACTTTGTGAGCTGTATTTGACTGTGCTCTACTTCACGGCTTTATAAACAACGCGTACGTCGGCAGAGCGCACGCTGGTACGCAACACTTCTGTGGAACATAACGGGCTATAACGATTTAATTAAGCCTTCCCCTTTCCATCGTCGGGGAATAGGCGTAGGCTTGGCTTTGGAATATCCACAACCTGTATGTTGTGGATATTCCAAAGATGCGCACGAAACGTTACGCTTCCACATTTATATGGCGAACGGCTATGGAGTGGAATTCCATGTGCATGTAATTGCTGATGTGCATGCTCCATCGTCGACGTCATCGTCACTTTCCATCAGGTGAGATGGACGTCAAATGCACACTTACATTTGTATAAAAAAATCAAAAGTCCGCCTTAATGAGCCGTGTAAGATCGATGTTAAGATCTTACTTAAGTCATCTGCTCTTACTAATAAATATCATTTGAGTGCACATCAGCAATTACAAATTGTTAAGCATCGCTTGAAAGTTGTAAAATTCCCTCTTATGAATAAACGTTACATACTAAACACTTAAGCTGCGGCTCTTGACCATTGTTAGGTTCTAATTTATGCAACGCTGAGTGTGTCACGATTGTAGTCAATTAATGTGAGTGAACTTGAGATGCTTTTTGGGATCCGAGTGCCATCTCAGTCGATATATACGAGATGTTTATTATTAAAACGTATTTAAGAATTATCGACATGGCGATATACTCAAAAGTTTTAAATAAAGAATTTGGAAAGTTTATCCTTTTGTTTTTTTATTCCAGTAGATTACAAAAAATATACTACGTCAGAGAGACACAAATGGGCCTATAGGCCCTGTTATGTCTCAGTCTCATCTTCGAGTCAAGCCACAGATAATGATGTCCTCGCGTGACGTGGAGTACTCATAGTGGACGGTATTTCATTATACGTACTTCGAACGCATGCATGGAAAAGGGCTTTTTCTAAGAGGAACATTTTGATATTCTCTGGTTGTAATGCGTGACAATTATAACCAAATGAATATTAAATATACACAGAAGCGAACAGACTCGGTGGGACCAATATGTACACTGGCTTAGGCACCTAAACACGGCCGCGTCGTAGGCAACGGATTGGCCAATGAATTAGGTATGTAGGGGCTGAACCTTCAACTCTTGTATGCAAGTTAAGTATTCCTTTGAGGGGACAAGGCTGCATATGCGTCTAAGTCATATTCGTCTCTAAGAAGCTTCCAATTTTATTTTCTACGACAACGCTGCAAGAGTCGGCCACGGGTTCTCAGGACGCTGCCTGAACACCGCAGGTTAAACAGAGTCTGTTGCGAAAACAATGAAACGCCCATTAATATTTTAAGCACATGTGCAGCAGCGACTTTATCATTATATATATTACTTTTTTAGTAGCAGTAGAGCTTCTTGTGAAAGAGTTCGTCCAGGGAAATACTGCCATCTTAACTATTTCTGCCGCCAAGCAGAAATGTGAGCGTTACTGCGTTCTGGTTTTGAAGGGTGCTCGTGAAATTGGGATATGCACGTGGGATTTGTAAACTAATATCTCAGGGTGATAGACGCAGTGGCAGACCCTTCAGATCTTTGCGATTTAAAGTTCTGCGTGTCGCTTTCTACCAGGCGCATGACATGTTCGCCCCGTCACTTGGTATTATACAAAACAACAGGTTTTGGCGTTCTCAAATAGTTATAACTAGGCAAATACACATAACTAATTAGGTACCTAGGACCTCTCTCTCAGTGTGTGAGTAGTTTTCACTTTTATGTTAATAAGTGATTAGAACACCCGTGGACCGTTGATTCAACAAATCACCGTTTAGCAGATGAAATAAAATTGCCGAGTCGTCGCGTTGCCGTCGCGCTGCCGTAATCTTCCCGCCGCAGTTCCGAAGTCGTATCGAGAGAGGAATACATTAATTTCAGTACTTTGTTTGGAAAATAATTTCCATTATTCTGTACCTGGCTACAAATTCTTCAACGACATCTTCAATAACAACGAGTTTACTTACGTACTGGTTTGTACTGGTAATCGTATAATCATGCGTCGTTTGTTTTTTTCGATTGTACTTTTTGGCACCTTTAAAATGTTTACTTGGTTCATATTTAATAAATAATAGTCTGCTATATTACTCGGTAGCACTACTAAATTGACTAGTATTCTTTTAGTTTTTGGTACTTACGTGTAAACAAAAGAGGTTGAGCTCAAAATAATACCAAATTCAGCTTCGGAATGAACTTTTATTGGACAAATGTCAACTTCAGCGAAGCCAACCTTACTCGACTAGTAAAATACATTAACACGTCATTAGCCTATCTACCTGCGCGTCACGTCACGTTGCATCACGTTACGTAACACTGCATCACATTAAATCTAGCCGCGTCATGCAATGTCACAGCGTGAAGTCACACAAAGTCACGCAGCACGATACAAAGTCACGCCACGTCGCAATTCATTTGTTACAGTAGTTACATCGTCCCAAACACTACGCTACACTAGAATTAGTAATGGTAAATAAACTTACTCTGTAGTTAACTCTAGAAGGTGACAGTAAGAGCTATATTTGTTCGTAATCAACGGAGTACAAGCGTTAAACAGTATAAAATGTATAATAATTGATATATCTGATATTATATTAAATATTTAATTAAGAGAGACGAAATTAGGAACTCTAAACGCCCAATGATAATTCTGTTCACTGGTTGGGAGTGCAGAGAATTATCGCGAAGTACAAAAATAATTGATTCCATAGATTGTGGTAGGCGCGATCGAGTCCGCGGGGCGCCACGAACTTCTGTGTCGCATGGCGCACAGTGGAGTCGGCATCGAACAACTATGTGTCTATAAATATAATGTCGAGTGAACAGTGAATGAAGCGGACAACAGCGCAGCGGACGTGGCGGGCCCCCAACGTTAGTTTCGTTTGCACAAGTTGCCAGTCGCCTAGGCCTCGTCGCGCGCGCCGCCGCCCGCGCCCGCGCCTGCGCCCGCGCCGCCCTCTGCGAACATAAACAAAATTACATTAACTTTACGAACAGAAAGACTCATAATAAACTCATTTCAAAGTTAAATGTCCATATTTAACTTGAAAAAGGCGAGTATAAATTTTTTTATGGGGCAGAAACCGTTCGCCCATTCCGAACGCATCTACAATAATGGCGCTCTAAGACCGTCACGAATTATTAATTTCTAACATGCACTTTCTATCATGTACGCTATCGAATATGTTATTATACATCTATTTAATCCCATTGAGCAAGTAAACGAGATTATTTAAATTCGTGATTTTCAATCAAAATCCGCCACCGTAATCGCATCGATCGCGGCGCCAGCGAATGCATGCCTGTATTCGCAGATCTGTTTGATGTCCGCAAATTGCATCATGACCCTTACATATATAAACATGAACCAGTAACATTCAAGGTCATAATACGATGTTTGTATCATTAGTACTTTTTGTCTACATTACACTTAAAGGAAATTGTACGTTAACTCCTAATAGTTTTAACTTTAAAAAATTGGCACAAATTTTTGCAGCTACGTGCATTAGTTATTCTATGGATTTTACATGACAAGTTACGAAGCTTTTGTGTCAAGTTCAAGAAGAACAGAACAAAACCTGCTACTACGAATCCCGTATTAGCAGGTTTCGGGCAATTGATAACAATTCTGGCTTTGCGGCCGAACAAGAAGCTGTTTGCAAAATCGTTTTACTTGCAAAAATGATTTTATTTACAATTCACGCACTTGTATTGCCGATTGCTTTTGAATCCTTTAAAAAAAATGGCGCCTGATGTTATGCGTTGATATGACCGACAGAAGTACGCATTTCTCCAAGAAGTTTTCGGGAAACCCAGTCATTTGTAGTACACATTTAGAAAAAGGAAGCAAAGCGCTTCATGCGAATGGGTGGAATACCGACGACGTAAGTATTATGAACTTTCTACACTGAAGAAGAAACGGCGAGAGTAGAAGTAAATTTTAGACCGGTTAATAATACTTTTACACACGCGCGCGGCTTCAAGCAGCGCTGCAAACGCGATGTAAGCGCGCGACTGCATCGATGCAAACGCGTGATTGCATCGCTGCATTTGGGATTTATAGGCAATTACAACGATGCAATCGCTAACAAATCGCAAGTGTAACCACTCTTAAAGTTCCTACGTACCGAAAACCGACTAGCAAATCGAATACCGAAAAAGAAGTGGTCCACAAAATGTATTGAAGTAAGTCGGTTTTCGTTAAAGGGTTTATTAACTTAATGTTTCGCCTTATACCTATTTACTTAAGCGCTTGAATTACAAGTTTTATTTTCTTCAGCGAATCTAAAACGTTCATCGCAAAAGTTTCTAAGGTACTCCGAGTCGGCATTTAAGCCCGGCGAAGCCGAAAGGCGTCGCGGCCTGTTAGAGATAGAGGCGCGACACAGCGTTTGATGCACGTCCAATTTATTCTATTTGCTTTTGGATCTATTTCACAATTCGAGCTCCACGAAAGTGCTATTTAATCGTCTGAGACGCGGAAAAAGTTTGCTTTAGAGCTTCAATTTGCCTGAGTACTGTTTTGTATAAAACGACCTTAACTGGACTGGTTCGTTGCGAGTCGCGATTGACCTCGCGAGCCGCCGCACAGTGGGCCCCAATTGATAATTCTTGGACATAAGAATAACTTGTGGAGTATCGAGCAATTTTTTTTTTATTTGATAGATAATAACATTCCTAACAACTTTTATTCATGCATAATTTCTTGAAAAGTTGATAGTTTCAAAGAAAAAAAAAATTTTTTTTGTATAGAGAAATACATTTTTTCTGAGTGTTCGATCTTTGTATTAATAATTATAACAAACTAGTGGAGTAATTTCACAAAAAATAATTGAATATCAATTCAATAAAAATTTAATTAGTAGAGAAATATACATTTTATTTTTTATCTCAAAATATACGAAAATGTACTTACAGTATTTACTTACAGTAGTAGAAAAAATAATCCGTCTGCATGTACTAGCGGCTTAGTAAGTAAAGGTGCGGCAAAATTGCTAACTCTTTTATGTACTTTTTTAACAAAATACATCATGAGCTACGACTAAAGAAAAATTAATTTTAGTGTAATTTAGAGAGTGTTATAACAATAACATGAAACTTAAGTAGGAATTACTATATTGTTTTAAAAAATAAATAAGAAATCTAAAATTTTGACATCTTTTTGCTCGTAAAGTCGCAAGTACCTGCAGATGGATTATTTTTTTCTTGATAGAAAATGATTGGACCTATACTGTAAATAAACCACACACATTACGTTTTTCTACATTAAGAGATAAAAAAACAAAATGTTTATTTCTCCAAACAAAATTAAAATGAAATGTACAATTCTACATACAACAAAATATACATATTTTTTCCGAAACTATAAACTTTTAAGAAATTATACAAGAATAAAAGTTGTTAGAAATCTTATTATCTATCATATAAAAAAATTTGCTCGATACTCCACAAGTTATTCCTATATCCAAGAATTATCAATTTGGGCCCACTGTGCGCCGCGTCGTTGAGAACGCGACATTGAGTGACTTTTGCGTCTCGCGGCATAGTGAAAGTTGCCAAAACAAAAGAGTACTGAAAAAATCATCAACTATTACACGAAAAACCCTGCACTTCGCAATTACTACAAATCCTATTCAAAAATATTAAATCAAAGTATATTATTAAAAAGTAAAAAAAATTCAAATATACATGAAACGAACAAATCCGAAAGTAAAATAAAAACTATGTGGAAAATAATAAAACAACGTACTAATAAAAATATAAACAAAAATAAACACAATTTCACGCTAAAAATTCAAAATGTACTGATATCAAATCCGAAACAGTATTAATAAATATTTTGCATCAGTGTGCAACGCGCCCGCGACGAACCCTAGTGGCATCGAAGCCGAAACCTCTGGCAGAGCGGACAAGCTATGCGCGCGCGGCCGCCGGGTGTTGCGTCCAACAGTGAACGCTATGTACTTGAGCCCGGTCGAACCAAGTGGAATAAACGTAATTATACGTAATCTAAAAAGTAAATACAGCTACGGAATAGACGAGATACCACCCGCGCTTATAAAGGCATGTGCAGACGAATTGACGTTACCACTTTATACACTTGTCAATCAGTCATTTACCGAGGGCGTGTTTCCGGATCTTCTTAAACACTCACTAATAAAATCTATCCACAAAAAAAGGAAGCAAGTGTGATCCGAGTAATTACAAGCCGATCGCATTATTACCCGCGGCATCAAAAGTATTTGAGAAGGCAATGTGTAACCGCCTATGCTCATTCTGTGAAAAGTTCAATATATTTGATGAATCACAAAATGGTTTTCGGAAAAATCGTTCAACTACACTCGCGGCTTACAAATTTTTGCAGAAGATTCTGGATACACTTAATGAAAAAAGTACGCTATCGGTATCTTGTTGGACATGTCAAAAGCATATCATAAAGTTCAATATGATACCTTACTAGATAAGCTTTACGGAATGGATATACGAGGTGGAGGACACTCATAAATGGTTCGCATCATACCTAATAAACAGAATCCAATATGTAGAAATCGAACACTATAACTATGAAACAGGTGAAATAACCCAAGTCAGATCAGAGCCACAAAACATGACTAATTCGATACCACAGGGAAGCGTCATTGGGTGCATATTGTTCCTGGCTTATATAAATGACTTCCCAAAAGTAATAACTGACTCATGTGTCCCTTTCGCTGACGATGTCTCAATATTGAAACCTTGTAAAAGTAATGACCATTTAAATCAAATTCTTCATAATACACTAAATACAATCTTAACATGGATGAGATTAATCACAATATAGAATTTATACCCTATCCAAAACCATCATTAAATATTAATTTTTCATATAACCAAACAAAAATAGAAACCGTCAATACATTTCATTTACTCGGAATAGATATTGATACAAATATAAATTTGGAAACAACATGTAAAAAAAAATTATCTAGCTTTATTTACGCCTTAAAATAAATAAAGCAGTCAACTAATTTACAAACTGCCCTGAATGCTTACTACGCGTAAATAAAAAAATAGTACAACTGTAAACGACCTCTTTATTAAACAAAAAAACTGCGTTAGAATACTAGCAAATATTCTGAGAACAGAGAGCTGTGAACCATTCTTTAGAAAATACAAAATCTTAACTCTAACATCAATTTACATTTTGGAAATTTGCAAATTCATAAATAAGTACCCACAATTTGACACTAAATTGAAAGATGAACCCCGACGCCATACAACAAGACACGGAAATAATCTCGTAGTACCGGTATCAAAATTGGAATTGCATAAATCGAACCCATATATATGTCAATAACAATATACAACAAACTGAAAAAAAGAAAATAAAACCAATGTATTCATTAATAACTTAAAAAACATTCTTACTAATAAAAAGTACTATACATTGCAACAATATCTAGACGATAAATCTCTGTAGCGTCGATCCAAATAATTTTTATCATCTAATTAAAATTGTTGTAACATATAAATGTACAATTATTAATGTGTATATATGTATAATAATAAATTTGAAATTTTAAAATTGATAAGAGACTAATTGATATTATAAAATTCTAAATAACTTGACGATAAACTACTTTAAAAGTAGAACTAAAATGAGCTTGCTACTGTTGACGATTAGTAATAATTTTTATTTTGTTTAACTATTTATCTTTTATAAATTGTAACTACTTATAACTACTTATCTTTTATTTGTTAAATTTATAAAATCTTTATCTTATTTTTTAAAGCTTTTTTATAAAAAATGCACTATTATGCCTAAAATACAGGTACACATGTACTTAGTTTAGGCATCGCAATTGCACTATTAGGCACTAAGATTAAAATGTTTAATTTTACCATGATTATCTTATATAATTTAGATTTTTTTGTTTTGTTTATTACTGTTTATTTAAATATTTTATCTTCATTACATTGTATTCATTATAATTGTATTAGATTAAGTCATATTGAAATAAATTTATCTTATCTTATCTTATCTAAATTGTTTATTTTATCGAATATCAAATTAAGAAATAACGTAAAAATTGTAATACAAATTTAGATTTATTTAGAATTTAGGATTGAAATTGCTATGCCCTTACAGGGTTCATGTTTGATCTGTACTAGCTAACTTAAGACTTATGTAACAACATAAATGCAATAAATAATTTGAATTTGAATTTGAATCTGTATTTTGACGGTGGTGTCTGTTGCGGTTTATTCGGCCAACGTCCTCTTGGGCGTCTCGGGTGTAAAGTAGGGTTGGCACAACCAACGTTTGCGAGTGAAATAATATTTTTTACTATCATGTACCGGGAAAGGTGGCAGATGTGAATTGGTACAAATCCGGGAATTTATTGCTCCCCTAACAAACAATAAAACGGCCTCGTGAACTTTGTGAATGGCGATATAATTATTATGATTCGTGGTTTTTACAGGATTGTATCAAATCGAGCAAACAATTTGCAATCACTGACATGACAATATATGTAATAAAAAACTGTCAAACATTTACGGCAAGTGTGACACACTCCTAGGCGACTCTCGTCCAAAGAGACTGCCACAGCCAGCCGGTGATAATAGGCGGCGTCTAAAGCTGCCACAAAAGTATAATAACCGGGAAACAAATAATTTATAATTTTTTATAACCGAGAAGCTTAAAACTATATAATGATATTGCTGGCGACTAGCTTTCCAAATTGAAATTAATTTGCTGACATTGGTTGTGATGTGTATATAAATTGACCACCCTTGAAAAAACACTTTTATTGCCTAGAGAGAGAATACGAGTACGGTGGTGTGGAGGAGTATGCTATGCTTCGTCGAGGCGGGAATCGCAATTAATGAAGTAAATATACCGCAATGCAGTACTGCCGTGGCCGGGATTGGAGGATAAGAAGGACCAGATTAATGCGAAGCACGGGAAACCTGTGATCTCAAGTCCCATTATTGGCGACGCATTCGCGATGTTAAGGAGACCGCCTTATGAAACACCAACGGGTATACCGTCTTTGAGTCTGCCTTCTGGCGTCGCTCTTGCTCGTGTATATCTAAGATGTGCACTTTGAGAACATTTAACTTAAAAGTAATTTATATTTACAGTGGTTTTACAAATCATAAACATTGAACATAATATAACAGTCGAAACAAACACAAAACATTGAAATAAATCTAACAAAGATCTAGGGAAGAATCTACAATAGATTAGTAGAAGAACAAGCGAGAAGAACACATCTTGCTACAAATAGAATAAAGAAGTGTTCTAGAAGATACTACATAGGCAGTATACAGATTTACTACACTACATCTAGAAGTCAATTTTTGTCTAAAAGTATACAGTAAGCAGAAAAGGAAGATCTATTGAAGAAAATCAGAACGGAGAATTGAATTAGTTTGTTGTGCACGACGAAAGATGTTTTGGTGCGAGAGAAAAGTCTGACTTTCGTCCAAATACAAACACGGAGTTACGGTGCATTGAAGCGACACGCGGTGCGTTCCCAGCGTAGTCCTCTAAGAGGCACGACGTCAACTACGCTTTTGTAGATTACTTGAAGTTTGGAGACGAAACGTGCTCTGATTTCGCAGGGTTCAATATTTCGCACCATCAATAATAAATTGACGAAATTAGAAACAAACATTTTCGAGATAGTGATAAAACAGATTTAAATAACGTACGAAATAAAACTAATATATACATTTTCCGTATCAAATAGAATTCTTTCCCAAAAATGTTACTTCCTCGAATTTAGTCACTTTGTTATTGTGGGTGCGACTTTATTGCTTAAGGTCTTTTACCAATTTTTTTTTAAAGAACTTGCATTGTAGGCAGTCGGTACTTCAGGAATCTTAACAAACATGCTTTGTCTCCTACCCTTCATGTCTACAAGAGCATCTCGTGCACAGTGCATTACACCATTCCACATGTCGTCGGTTACCGTTTTCCGGTGCGTCGGGCGCGGCAATCGCGTCGAAAGTGAAGGGCGCGGATCTCTTGCCCCACATGCCTCTTAAATTGGTCCAGCCCGGCTCGCGCTTCCAGTAATACGCTCCTGTCGTGTTACATATTCTTTACAATCCAAATCTTTTTCGTATTTGCGGGCTGTGCAAGGTTGAAACTTAGAAGAAGCAGAACGAATGTGGCTGAGTAAGATTGTAGAGAACCTGTTCTAACAGTGAGATCCATTACTTTCTAAAGGAAACAATTAAATAGTGTAGAATATTGTGTTTTTGTAATATGTCTCTAAGAGGAGAGAAATTACGACTTTGCGAATACAAACCACCAAAGAAAAGTAAGAAAACAACAGTTATCGCTTCCAATAACCTTAACATTTGAAACGGTTTTTTTCATCGTCGGCGTTGACTTTTCATAAGTGAAACTTGTACAGACATATTTTTCACAGCCTGATCGAGTTTTACCCGTGGCGATGCCGAGACGCAAACGGGGAGGTGCGAAGGGCGAGGTGCGAATTTGCTGTGAGAGGACGACAAGTTAATTTAAAGCGGAGTTGAACCGTTTCGCGAATTAGGTGTAATCTGTTGACCGCTGATGCCGCCGTCACCTTCAATTTGTCTCCATCTACCCGACGCTAAATTGGAAATGGTTTCAGTGCATTTTATTTATTTCTTACCACAGAATTCAGATTCGTGTACGCGTATATTTTCGATTAAATGCAATCAATATTTTATAATCGGTTTGTATTGCCAATTAACTAGTAAAGTTTAATTAACTGTTTTCATTTGTGAAAATACCAAACCATGTTACATAAATAGGTTAAATTTTGAAACGACTTGTTCAACTCTTTAACATTTACCAAAATGTTTTCGCCGTGAGATTTCCCACTAGTCTCAAGATATGAACTATGTCTTATTTATCCATTGTGTAATATAAAAACATACGAAATATATTTCATGATATTTATTCTATTGCATCGTAAACGCGAAATGTCAGATGCTACAGAAAGTTCTGTGATGATTTTTAGCCGACTTCAAAAAAAGGAGGAGGTTCTCAATTCGATTGTGTTTTGAAAATCATTTACCTCTAATTAAATTAAAATTAAACCATGTTTATAAATAGCGCCAAAAAATTTTATTTCATTAGCATTTATTTTAATGGTTGGTTTTGCTATTCTCCAATTCAAGGCGTTTTTCTCTCAATGTACTTTGAGTAGCGAGAACCGATTTTTATTATTTCCTGTGTCAAGTTCTGTATAGTGGCGAAGTAGGGGATATTTCAGTAAAACTTGGCAAGACGTAATTCCACGTACTTTTGAGGTCGGTTTTTTTATCTATTCAATAGTTGTTTTTATTCATATTACATAAGTATGACATGTACGAGTACCTACCTACCTAAGTAGGTACCTACTACCTACCTAAGTGTTACGCTAATTGTTTACTTTCTAACTACTCGCTACATAGGTACCAATAGAACCACCTGTTGTACCCGCCCCGTTGTTTGCTTTTCAATTAGTCCTTATGTGCGTGCATTTTCATCGTATTGCGTGTTTCCGCTGAGCTGCCTCAGTTTTAGCGTAACAAATTTGTTTTCGGTTTTCACAGAATGTTATGATAGCTGTTTTCGCCGTCATGCATATGCATCGCGCATTTTCAACTTTTTGTGTAACTTTCTCTCTATGTAAATAATTTCGAAATCTGCCAGGAAGTAACAAACGTTAACACAAAGTGTTAAGGTGCAAAGTCGAGAGTGCAAAAAGTTCGGCGTAATTTAAATTTTTGCAAATGCATGGGCAAAGTTAGGCCGCGCCCAAACGAACAATTCGTTTCCATTTTTACATTTTGTCTTACGAACTACTTACCTTACGTCTGTGTTTTACGTATTCAGCGTTTGGTTCTTCTTTAAACATTTCGATTTTAAATTCAATTTATTTAGGCTTATGTCGCTCGTGAGATCGGTTTCTATAGATCCTTCAAAAGCAGGTGTATGGTCGAAAACACATGCCAGTAGGTGCTTCAGCCTGATTATTTTAAGTAGCAGATAACCCATTTAAAACGGGATTCGTAAAAGCCTGTCTGTGAAAAGATGAAGTAATCTCCGGGATGTGAGACCAATTTATATCCCACGGACTATCTTTTCGTTTTCAATTCATCCAAACCGTTTTTATGATTCAGGATGAGAAGCACAAAGAAACCCATTTAGCGCACGAGGTGGGCGCAGAGTTCTCTTACAATCAAGCACGAGAGGGGTACTGACGCGGTATGAGCAATAAATGAATGAATAGTATCGTGACGATTGAAGGGTTACATTCTGCAAAACTGGAATAAAAAATACTATACTCAACATGTACAGCGCAAAATATGAATGTCACGTGTTTAGTGTGCCTAGAGCTCGAAGTTCAGGTCTTCGCTATGAGTGCCGCACTCGCGTGTAATCGACTTGCCGGGTTTCCTTCGGCGAAAGTTTCATATGACCGTATGGACCGGGCGGAGTTTGGAACTTGTGTTTCCGAGTTTCATTGCAAACAAATCTCTTCCGATTTTCAATATGTAACATTATGTAATGCATTACCTAAAATGTAGCCATGTTATGTGTTTCATTTTACGTATTTATATTATTATTCTTTGGTTATATAGCACTTTACTAGTTAATTTTAAATGAAAAATATTATAAATTAAAGTCTTCTCCGTGAGTCAACGGCCTTTATTTATCGATAGCTTTGTGTTCCTTCTGGAAGGAGATAATTATGAAATCGGTACCGAGGCTGCTTTACCCAATAATGGTCAAAGATAACAGGACAAGTAATAAGTGTTGTCGACTTAACGTGTAACATGCACCCCTACATACCCACAAGTACCTATATACCTCACGTAGTTCATACATGTAATAATATAAAATGATATGGAATTAATTAGAACATTGACACGCTACCTTTACACGGTTGATAGACACCATCTCAAGAACCTCAAGGGCTTTTGGAAAACAGTTCAAAATTTAAAATACTTTTAAAATAATTTCGAATTTATGCGTTGAACTCAGAGCATAATCAAATTACGGGGCCAATAAAGCCTCTCCTTTGCACGCGGACACTTTACTCCATTTATAGGACAAATATTAACTCTTTGAAATATCAGATCGCGCAAAGTAAATGAATACAACGAGAAATATGTTCGATAAGAAGTACGTATTACCACTGTTAAACTGCGCCTGTTTGACGGGACGCTTGCCCCAAGCGCCGTGCAGCGCCTGCCACGCCTTCTTCTCGGGAACTTGGATCGTCTCGCCGTCCTGCCAACGACAACACTGTCATTCACATCATCTGTGTTTAGAAGATGCAGCGTAGCTAGGTAAACCCTTACGTACTTGTCGTATATTGCGTAAGGGTGAGCAACTTTCGCCTGATGTTAAAATTCTGGTTTGTATTATTTTACTATTAAATTCAAGAACTTGTTAACTCGCCTTTCTAAGCTAGATTTTATTTCAATAGCGTCATTGTACAAATTGTTAGGCTCGAGGTAGCAGACGCACTCACCTGTGTGGGCAGGAGTTGTTCGATGACCGCTTCGTAGTCCTCGTAATCAGGTTCGGGTCCGGATCGTTTGCCCCACGCCGCGTGCAGGTTCGCCCATTTCTCCTGTATGTACATTATTAGTTAATATTGACTAACTTGACTATGTTATTATTTTTATCCGATTATTTCTTGGTGCATTTGACACTTGCTCAAACAAGATTCTTTTTGAGCTTAGAGCTTGCTTTTCTCATTTCAGTTGTTTTTTTTTGGTTCATAAATACTTACGGGTCCCCTCTTGCCCCACGCCGAGCTCATGTCTTGCCAACCCCTCTTACCCCACGCTGAGCTCATGTCTTGCCAGCCACGTTTGCCCCAAGCCGGGTTCAGGTCTTGCCAGGCGCGCTTGCCCCAAGCGGTGTTTAGATCTTTCCAGGCTCGTTTGCCCCACGCAGAGTTAAGGTCTTGCCAACCACGTTTGCCCCAAGCGGAGCTCATGTCTTGCCAGCCTCTTTTACCCCAGGCAGAATTGAGATCTTGCCAACCGCGCTTGCCCCAAGCAGTATTGAGATCTTGCCAAGCACGCTTGCCCCACGCAGAGTTTAGGTCTTGCCAGCCCCGCTTGCCCCACCCGCCGTGTAAACTTGTCCACGCGCGCTTGTCTTCTTCCGTAAGTTCTAATTCGTTGTCATTCTGTGGAAATAAAGTTAGGTTGAGCGAAAAGACAGTTTGTGACAAAGGCGTCATACAACTAATATCGGTGGCCGTCACACGTGTACCAGTCATATTATAGTACAATATTGAAGTGCATCAAGGATTAAGAAGCATTAGACTAGAGCGGATGTCTTTTAATTCAATTACTTTTTTGCGTGCGGCAAACAGCCGCACTGAGCGCCTGCACTTGTGACAGACATGCATCGATCAAATGACGAACCGCGTGCGTCATCCGTACCCACTGTATTATTCATTGTGGACTTCCTATAACCGCCATTCTATTCTTACAATGACGTAACGCAACCATTTTAAAAGAAACCAAACGGTTTATAGGTTTCTTTGACATTAGGCAGTTGAGGGAAAATAGAATGAAAGGGAAACTTAGGGAAAAATAACAGATGTGGTCTCGGTTGACAGCGAAGTATTGGCGCAGACGCGGCGGAGCGTGAAGGAGCTTAATCGAAAGACTGATTGTTGTAAATTACCCGTGAAAATAATACAAGGAATATCATGACGATTTTCAATGCTTATATTTATTCATGAGTATACAAAATAACTGTCTACGTTGGACACCTAATTACAATAATTCTTGGTTGCCAGGTGTTTCGTTGTAGGCCAAGGAGCTTCTTAAGAAACATAGTAAGTAATGAATTATTTCCCGTTTAAACAAAATTTCCTTTTCTAATACTTGCGCAAGAAACAAGACAATGCAACTGAAAGAAGGCTATTATTACAAGCGAACACGAGTCTAGTAGCAAAAGTTTAAACGCCGTGCATTGGCTTGTGACGGCATTCAGTTTTTGTAGCCTCTATTGTTCTTGATTCTCGCTAATTCCCGGATCGTTACTAAGACCCTTGCGGTGAGAAGTTGCCTCTGTTTTTGCCGTCGGCACCAGTGGCGTCACGGGTGTGCGGGGCCGCGCCGGAGAGTGGAGCTTTTTGTAACTTTGCAACTTCGTTTCTTATTTGTTCTTCGCCGACAGCACACTCGTCTACTAAGGGTCGTATCGTCATCGTAGTTATGAAAATTAAATCATGTGTAAGTAAGTATGCAGCAACATGGATAAGAAACACGACGAGTTGCACTTTTGAATTCCTAAATACATCATCAAGTTACTATATAGTCTGGACTCTGGATCAATTTTTTTTATAATATCAAGTGACGGGAAGAATAGGTCGTGTGCCTGGTGGTAAGCTACACGCCTGCCCATAACAGTTGCAGTGCCATTCAGAGCTTTAAATCGCAAAGATCTAAGGGGCACTGCCACTGCCGGAACCCAGTGTCAGTTCTTACATGCATGCTTGCTGTAAAACTTTCAAAATTGTAAAATACTTTTGACACAAATCCCTAAGATAAATTACTATTGAAATAATAACGCTCTCGCACTCACGCACACGTATACACACAATAACACACAATGTCGAACTCCATGAACTTGTTTACTTGTACCTACATATTGTTTGTCTTTTCCTTTTTTTTTAAACATTAACTATTATTATGCCAATAACTATAATTGTAATCCTATGTGCATTCGTTGTTTTGGATATTGTTACGAGCTAGTTTACAAGAAATAGATAAAAGATGAAAGCCCTCGTAGCAATGACTCCCGCTCAATACCATAAGGGAGTAGGCAGAGGCTGAAAAACTGCGGCGCTGCACGATACCATCGCCGTTTCAGCATAAGCTGAGCCTATGCGTTTTGTCCCAATATACTTTTAGTGTTTTGACTTTCTTTTCTTTGCATGTAGGAATTCTTTTAAAAAATGTTATTCTGAGACAATAAATGACTTATTTATTTATTTATTATTCCCTAGATGAATTATTTCACAAGCTGCTCTACTGCTCCTAATAGAAAACCAATATCGTGCGCGTGTGCGTAGGTTTATGTCAAGTTAATTCAACTAGAAGAATCTAGCGGCACTAGCATGCATATACCTGCGCGGACGGCGGCTCGTGCGCGGCGTCCGGCGGAGCGGCGACAGCCAGAGTCGTCAGCGCCGACACCCAGAGCGCGGCCACGCAGCAACGCATCTGCAACAACACAACACACAACCACTGGTTACAACACTTGTATTACAAATCATTGTCGTAGGGGAATATCATCATCTGTCTGACTGTTCCTCTGCTGGGTACTCTTCTCTCAGGAGAGGGTTTAGGCCATTATCCATCACACTGGCCGAGCCTGTTCGGGTTGGGGACTTCACGCGTTTTACCATTGTTGTGAACCTGCTTAAATGTAAATCGTCGACTAAACTTGAAAACCTCGTAGCTCCGTTTCTGGCCGAAATGCCTTTTTTACTTTTCAAGCGAATCGAATATCGAGCTATTATAATTAATAAAGCTTCAATTATAATTTGTATACCTTTTAGGTATAAAATAAAGTTATAATCATAAAATGTTTTATAATTATTTCTAATAATAGTAATTCTGTTTTTGTGCCTACTCAAAACGAGGTTGTCGAATTCAGCCGACAATATGCAAATTTCATACGATATTTATTGTCATCGTTACTTTTGTTTTATTTATTTTAATACCCAGAAGTGTGGCTACTAAGCATTCGCAAAAGTATAATACTAAACGTAGAAGTTAAAGTCAGTATAGGGAATCGAACCGTCAACCTCTCGATTGGGAAGCAACCGTTCACCCTCTGAGCTACCACAGTTCTAAGAAAAACAAACACGAGACACCTTCCCATTCTACTAATTAATGATCGCGACGCAGACTTCACGTGCGAATAGTCTATGAAGGTAAAATATAGAATAAGAACATATAGAAGTTTATGCACATTCCAATAGTTTCGCGCGCTTTAGCGCATTCAATCTGATATAAAGTAATAATGTGTTTAATTCGCTCGAAATGATCTTTCAACTCGACGTCAAGGCGCCTATTTTGCGTGTTTCGTTAAAGTTCGTCCGGTAAGACTTTCACAACACGAGGGTTTTTCTGTGTAGCTTTCTTTCTAAACAATTACCTACGCTATCTTATTGCAATAATTGATTGCGATAATTGAGGAAAGATTGGCAATGCCATGAAAACAAATAAACAAATAAATCTACTATGAAAACTGTTCTGCATTGTATCAACGAAGCTGTGGACGCTAACCGCCGATTCCCATTTTGATGAACGAGATTTATCTGTTTGATATGTGACGATCGCGGTTGGAGTGAAATTGTTGTATTGTAATAAAATTTTTAGAAGGACAGTAACGCCGTGCATTGGCCATGGCTTGGCCATGACATGTCGGGTATAAAATATAAGCATATCTATATTATATTTTATTTCAGCCAATGAAAATTGATAACTTTTGTTACTTATACAAGAGGCGCATCATAAGTTTCCGGAATAAATAAGAATAAAAATAGTATAAATGGTCAGAAATAAATTTATTGTTTCGCAAAACATTCTCCGTTAGCACTAATGCACTTTTCCATGCGAATGAACCAATTTTGAAAACAGTTATGCCACTCCTCCGTGACAATCTCCGAAACGTATTTTTCATACTCTTCGACAGCCTCTTCAGGTGATGAAAATCGTTGACCGCGTAACTGGTTCTTAATTTTTGTAAATAAATAAAAATCACAAGGTGCCAGGTCGAGACTGTACGCGAGATGGCTCATAAGGTCAACGTTGTTCACCTTCAAAAATTAATTTGTCTGTCTGGCCGTGAGAGAACTGACATTATCGTGGTGCAAGATGTCTAGTTTTATTAAAAAAGAAGCAACATCCGCTTAGAGGCACTTTGCACGCTCGCCACTTTGGTTGGTTTCGGCTCATCTCTAAAGACCCATACGCTCGATTGTTGCTTTGTATTGGGATCGTAACTATAAATCCATGTTTTGTCACCTGTTACTATGTTCCACACCAAATTTGACGCCCCTTCGTTGAATCTGGTAAGCATGGCATTGCATCAAGTGACGCGATCCATTTTTTGAGCCTCAGTCAAATTGTGTGGGATCCACCGAGAGCACAGTTTTTTCACACCCAAATGTTTGTGTAGTATTGATTGTATTTGACTCATGCCTATGCCTAAAGATGCCCGAATCTCACAGTATGTCACATGCCTGTCCGTTTTGATCATACGGCGCACAGCATCGATATTTTTATTGTTCACAGCAGTGGACAGGCGACCATCACGAAATTCGTCACTGAGATTCACACGACCGCGTTTGAATTCTGCAAACCAGCTATAAATAGTCTTCTTGCATTGTGTTTCATCGCCAAAAGCAGTTTGAAGCCGAGCGAAGCTCCGCTGAAGTGTTACATTACCCTTAAAGTCGTACGAAAATCATACTACGAAAATGTTCATGAGTTAAATCCATGGTGATGTAGACAACCAATTTCTGAAATGACGCCATAATACAAAAACAAGTGACAGTCAGATGAAACAAACTGTATTCTACAGCCAAAGAGTTCCATTTACAAATGTTGTAATTACTTTTTAAATATTGTTTATTGTGACAATTCCGGAAACTTATAGCGCGCCCTATGTATAATTGCAGGTAACTTAGGTAAGTACGTCTCGCTGTATTTAAGGTTCAACTCGTCAAAAAATAAAAAGCAGGAAGTCTTCTCACTGGAAGCCATATTGAAGAAAGGTCACATTGTCAACCGGTTATTACATTTAAGAAAGTATTGATCGCAACATGTTGTGATAAAAATACACTGCCATGCACCACCGCCTGCCGGTCGGCGGTAATGTCAGTGCGTTGCAATAGGTCAGCCCGACGCGGGCGGCCCGCGATCGCCAGCCCCCGCGACTGCTGCTCGGCTGATGACCCGCCACCCGACGGCTATTTATGCCTCTTAGCCACGTAAGAACCTTTAAACTATCGGAAGGGGTTGTTCCGATATTTAAAAATTGGGGGTTTAAACTATCGGGCTATCTTGGAAGATTTTTTACCTACGTTTTAACTTCCTCGGTGGCCGAACAGTTACCATGCTGGCCTGTCACGCATAAGTCCCGGGTTCGGTTCCCGGGCCGAGAGAAACACTTCTCAGGTCCACATTTATTGCTCTCGTGAGTCTGGGTGTAATTTGTGGTTATCTATGTGTGTATCTATGAGTTCCCTGGTTTGTTCCCTGGTGCGGATCTATGATTGTATGCGTTATTTATTTATTTTTATTATGTTATTATTTATTTACGTAGCAATAGACGGCCGTGATGCAGAGAGTCCAAATACCTATAATCATCTTTGAAAGTAGACATCTGAAACAGAAATTCTTTTGTTCACAGGCTAAGACTTATACCTTATGTCTACAACTCACGACACTGTTGTCCACCCTCCAACTGTTTGCCAGTTTTAATAAAGTCTACTTTTTCATGAATGCCAGTGAAAACTATTTCTCTTAAGGACGGCTAACAAAGCGCTATTTCAATTTACAAAGCGTTCAAAGAGAAAGAAAAGAGGCACAAAGGATCACATCATAATAAGAAGCTTTGTGCCACTCGGCGGCTGCACTTTTTGTATTGTTCTCGCCGACTAACTGGTTCACCGACAAAAGAGTTTCAAGAGCACACCTAAGCTGAAACAAACAGATGGTAAGCGAAAAGATCAAAGGCACTTTAAACTTGATTAACTAAAGCTCGTTCGAGGAGTTGTTAGCATTAATGAATGTCGAACTATAGTCATTTTAAAACTTCGCGTCGATTGCTGTCGGCTTTAACGCTGAAGCTGATTAATTAGAAAACTCCGAGTGGTGTTGCGTGCGAAACAAATTAAAGGATTTGTAACGGAGCACGGCGGAGGTTTGCAACGAGTTGTTGACTATTGACTGTTTATGGGTCCTTGACAGAGCAAACCGGCGACAGCCCGTTTTATTAATGGCGATTTAAAGTTAATGAACGCACCTGGACGGGTGTTAGTTGATGGAATATTGCTGTTCTTTGTTGGCGCAACACGGACTGATAGTATAACTACATCAATTATTATAGATAATGTCGTTTTAACGATGTTTTTTTTTTATGTTTTTATTCGGAGTTTTCCATGTTTTTGGAGCTTCATATATACTTTGTAGTATTGTTGCAAGGCAACGCGTGACGATGACGTATAATTAAAATGACAGCAATATAATATATAATATGACGACATTAACGTCGTCGGATTTCGCGTATACGGTGCCGATGCGTTTTCATATCAAAAGCAATTGAAATTATATTTTATAAGTCTTTCTCTAACTCATGTTCTGACGCACCTGCCTATGTCGTGCCAGGGTTAATGTTATATACGCCTAGAACATTTAATAATTTCGGTTTATCAGTTGGTTTATTAGTTTACATCAAATATGTGAAAACAACGATGGAGCGCATTACGATTATGGTGTAGTGGAGTAGAGGTTGCGTCTCAATTGTCATTAGATGCACTGAAAAGAGGCTGTATGATTCATACGCAATACCTCTATAAGCGCTCACAAGCCTTAACGAGAGAAAGTAAAATCACTTGGAATCATCATAACCATCAAGTTCTTTACTTTTGTGGGGTTTCTCGGAACTTTTTATCTAGTAGCGATCGTAATGAATAAATTCGTCGAAGTGATTTTGGGCTAGAAAGTCCTGAAAAGCTTAATCACAGCTATATAGGGACAAAGTATAAATGTATGAATGTATAAAGTATAAATCTGAACAACGATTTAGAAGTTGTATGCGCCTCTAACTTTCGTTTCTTAACATTATATAATATTTGACTTATTGAAACATTTGCCAACATGAACACTAACAATACATTATCAAACGACTTTTTATGATTCCAAGTAACGGAAAGAGTAAGTAAAGAGTACATTTGGGAGGCACCGACACTGCACCCGTCACAATAATTACGGCAAAGTTTCACCATCACCCTTACCCTTCAAAACGGAATCGCAGTAATGCTCATATCACTGCTACGCCCTTATTACCGAATTCCCAAATTGCAACGTAAAATGCAAACTGAGGTTGAATTTGTATGTAACTCATGAATCCACGTGACTGTTGTCTGCCTTGGTGACTCGAAAAGATATGTAATATGGATCATTTGACGGTTGTTCAAGAGGCTTGT